GAGAGAGAGAGAGAGAGAGAGAGAGAGAGGGAGAGAGAGTGATAGTGGGAGGGAGAGAGAGAGAGGTCAGTGAACACCTTCAGACAGAGGCCATGCTGTAAACTCTAGGGAGTTTCTGCACAGTACTGAACAACATTCTGTTTTGTCTCCATATAGCGTTCGAATGTATATGCCAGTGCTAACTGCCCAACGTATAGGAGACTGGCTACCATCAGCAATGGCTTTGGCTTCGTTTCATCAGTCTATATTAGCATGGCGCAGGCTGCCGGCGCGACCGGCCCGACTGCATGTCTGCTCCTTTGTTTTCGTTCAGCCCCACCTGTAAACAAAGGGATTCAGACAAATGAGTCTGACACTATACTTTCCCGGCTACACCCATCCAGGTCTCCTGGGTCAGCGCCCCCTTTAAATGCTCAGATACGCTCGACGAGGCTGGCAATTAGCCTCTATCATATCCACCATTACCCCCCCCCCCCCCGTGCCCCCATTACCCTCACACCCCCCAGACAGGAAAACATTGTTTCCCGTGGGCCTCTGGCTACTGTACAGATAGCAATATTTATTCTACTGTGTAACAGCGTTTGATAAAATGGGATCTTTGATATGCAGCAGTTGTATTTCATACTGCAGTGGAGGTGTATGTGGCATAATACATGGATAAGGTTTATATTGTAGCAGACTGCTCTGTTTGAGACGTTGTTGTGCTCTAGGAGCTGGAAAGATGACCTTGGTTTCATACAATCAAGTCGAGCAGGCTGTGTTTGGGGCCCTCATGCTGGTCGGTCCAGTTTCCTGCCTCCCAGATCTGCGTCTGTCTCATTTTCAGGGCTGGGTTTGATGCCGGTCATTGCTCAGGAGCTCAGGGTGGACCAGGGCATGGTCTAATCCAACGGGATTTTTCTGGCATTATTAGGCCTTGAAGAAACACCGGTCTGAGATCCGCTGCATCCCGGACAGTGAGACATCTCTGATTCGGCCGTGCCTGCGTATAAATCGTCGGGTAATCTCGGTCCGTCTTACCGTACCTGTAAATATTTCATGTGCCGCTAGCATGCTAACGGGTCTTACATCACCTGGTAGCCATGGCTACCGGGATGCTGTGGGTTTCTGGCCCGTCACCTCTTTTCAGACGAGCGCTGGCGGCGCTCCGGAAGCAGTACGGCAGCTTCCAAATTCAAAACATCCACTGGCCATTTGAATTCACCTACGAAGGTGCATATGCTAATTTCCATTAGCGACGGCCGCCTCCACAGAGGGCCCTCCTTTGTTTCCTTGCGGTTGTCGAAACGCCACGGCACCCGAGTGAAAATGGTTTACGAGGGAAAGTAAACTGGGCGGAAGTTTCACAGCGAGCCCGGCGAGGCGGCGGAAGACGGTCGTTTGCGTGAGCGAATGTACACTGGGTAGGTCTACGTAGGAGGAAATCTCTAAACGGTACTCTGGGAGTGTGTGTGGGGGGGGGGGGGGGTGGAAATGGGAAAATTGGCAGAGCCTCGTGACATTGAAAGCCCAGTCTGGTGTGTACGAAGGACAAAAGCCAAGACTTGAAGAGATTTGGGTACTACCCGGCCAGGCCCAGAACCAGTCTGTCAGGTTCCGTCGGCCTGACTCTGCTGGTGTCGATGGCGCTCGCTCTAACAAGGGTGGCCTGTGCTTCTGTTTGCGTGACATCATCCCGTTGTGCACACAGCCCCGGGGGGGATCCAGCCCTACAGGTGAGCCGTCGCCTAGCAAGAGCTGGTCCCGAATTCACAGCTGTTCTTCCTCCTAACCTGTTTCCCTTTTTGTCGACGGTCTATCAGCTTTTTCTGTGTACTCAATGTATAAAACGCTGCTTAACAAGTGGCTGTTTCTTCTGTCTTTGATAAAAAAAAAGAGAAAAAGATCTTAGGCGGGTGAAGCAGAACTATCAGCCTGCTAGGAAGATAGAAGAGTACGTGACAAATTACCCCTCAGCTACGAGGCAGATTCCCCTTCATTTGCTTTTGTAATATTTCCACATTAGCATATGTGCCTCTTAAAAAATGATTCCTCATTGAATTTTCACACAATGCCCATGCATTTAAACCCAATTATCATGCTAATCAGTTTAATCGAATCATGTGTAATAATGCAGGTTCAGCTCTAACCAGTCATACTAAGACTACTGTGATGTGTGACTGTTCTGTGAGCAGTGGTCGCTCAACATGGCCCTGATTCAGCCAGTTGGAGCTCTGCAGGTCTGCGGACGAGTTAATCTTCATGCGGTCTCCTTCAGGCATCTACACAGTCTCACCTGGTGTTGCCGTGTTCAATCTGAAGGAACATAAGATGCCCACACTCGTTCAGAATAGGACATACCACATTATTATTTTTCAATGTGAAACTATGCTGTAAAATCTGGGACATTTCCATAAAATACGGGCTGGCTGGTAACTTTAGTGTCACCATTTCCCACCTCCTTAGTGCACTCCTGGGGGGCGGGTGGGCTCACATAACTGAAGGAGAATTCCTGAGATTCATAGCATAACAAAGTAAACTGACAATATACAGGGTTCTGGGTGTGGGGGAGTCGAGCATGTAACTTCCTGGCTGGTAGCATGCGGAGGGGTGATCGTGATCAGAGCCTGCCAAAATCACACCAGGGCTCTTGAAAATGAATATACCTTCAGAAAATATCCAATAACGGCAACACTGAGGAAGCCATATCTGTGTCGTGTCAGCGTGGGGCAGCTGAACCCCAGCCAATGGTGTGTTTCTCCAGCTATTTGTCCTCAATGCCCGTTACGGAAAAGACTTCTTATCAGTCGTCAGAGTGATTTTTTTAAAATAGTCTGTTCTTCAGTTTGGCTCAGGAAATGTGTAATAGCTCATTAAACCACTTTTTAGGAGAGAGGTTATCGCACCAGATGCATATTGAAGGACTGCCTTTTCCCTCCGTAAGTCCGCAAGAAACAGTCACGCGGCACAAAACCCCGTTCTCGGTGCCTCTGCTAAAACTGCGGCCGGCTTCAAACATTTCCAGATCTATTTTCAGGAGGAAGCACATCTTATCTTCTGGAAGTCGATCTAATTTGTTTTGAGGGATTCATGCCCGACACCTTCTCCTACGCTGAAATGCACTCATTTTCTTTCGCATTATTTTCACGGACCTGTAGATCTCCGTCACGCTGTACAATCACACCATCTGCATTCATTGCATTAAAACATGCATTTCTGATGTGATTCTCCACTGTCTTCATTTTATCTTGGGAGACATCATCCAGGCGTTCTCAGGAACGGCAGAGTAATTCAGCTGTGCTGGAATGTTCCTTTATGTTTTGTTTTTAAAAGGCTATTTACAGTATAAAGAGTTTCAAATCCTGTCGTGCAGTTGCCATTAGACAGGGAGATGCTATACTCTGTTTAGTTTTGCCGGAGCGCATTGCTGGGGAACCTGTCAAAATGGTATCTACTATTTGAACGTAACCTATGGTTTGGTTAAAAAGAGAATATTTAATTTTTACTTTTTAACAGGGACACAGTTATATGTGATTAGTTTGCAGTCTGTCTGCCCCTGTGCTTGGAGACGATAACTGGGCAATCTTTAAATGATTTAATTGCTTAGTGCTCTTTTCTGCAGAGTGACTTACTTCCTGTTTAATCAGCTGGGAGAGTTTAGGAAAGGCTCTGCGCTGAAGGTACCAGCCTGAGAGTATTAGCCTGTAACATGTTGGTCAGTAGTGCAGCTGCTTAGTCACTGGCCCATTTGTCTGTCAATCATCTGATCACGTGATCACGTTGTTTTGGTTCCCCTGCCATTTGCCCCACCCATTTTAACTCCCACCTCATCTGCAGTTTCAGTAATCGGTGACACTAAACTGTACCCCAAATGATAGTGTATCACACAGGAGGCTGTAATTTAACTTACCATCTCAGCCCACACCTGTTTCACTTCACCCACCCACACCACAAATGTGACCATGGTGCTGGGTTTGACGGTGGGGGGGCGGTTTGCGTGCAATGGCTCAGTTTTATGTGTTTTGTGACCAGTTGGATACCAGTTTGCACCAGCCTAGACCAGGACACTCCCACCTGCTGTTTGTAACTGCAGTCATGACCATGATTCGTATATTTACAGAGTAAATATTCAGGATAACTTCTCAGTTCTCTTTGACAGCCTCAATGGGATTATTTTTTAATTCTCCTCAATTTGGAAAATATGGAAATAGGAATATGAAACTCTACTGCAGGGAACTTTGTGACATTCTGTCAAAATGTATTATAATAAGTCAAGCTGGCAGATTCAGAGTTTGAGCGAGGGCTGCATTGTGCTCACATAGCAGACGGTGATCGGTGTCGTGGCTCTCACAGCCAGACCCGCTAGGGGTTACATGGCCCTGAAATCACTCTTTTTTAACATCCCTGCTTTTAAAAATCCCGAAAGTTCCCATGGCAACAGTCCGCCAGCTGTATTTCTAGAAAGCAAGCTGACGGATTAGAGTATATCACTAATTCAGCTGTAATTGTATTCATCCACGGGGCCCAAAGGTAAACACACCCAGCACGCACGCGGTAACTATAGTCAGGATTAAAACTGACATTTAATTGGCAGGATAATCAGCTCCTTTAACCAGGGTTCAAATATTTCCATTTTAATATGAAACCATCTCACAGCACAACGTAACGGCTCGATAAAGACCAATCCCGATGGGCGCGGGTTGTCATATGGCACCAGAGAGGGCCTGATTTGGCGCATGGCCGCCCCGATCTCGGGCTCCGTCCCTGGGCTTCACAGCAGCCCAGGCCCCTCTCTCCAGCAGGGAGCATTCTGAACATGTTACTCACACACACAGCCCCGTCTACTCATTTCCTCTAGCTGCTTCCACTTGCATCAAGGCACCTCCGCTCTCCATAGCAAGGCAGGAAAAGAACGGCGCTTCCCGGCTTAAAGCGTGACTCTACCCGTCAATCCGTCCTCTAAGACATATCCCCTCCCTACAGGCATCGACTCCCGGAAGGATGGCGTCTGTGATCTGCTGAGGAGCTATGATCCTAGAGAGGTGGGTATTTTAAGTATGTGCGTCCAGCATCCCCCCCCCAGCTTTCTCCGAGGGATCCCGTATCGATTTACGAGCTCGCTGCCCTCGAGTGAAAACAGATGTGTGCCAAAATGTACTTCTTTTTCCTAGGAGTCCTTGTGAATAATGAATTCCTCCAGCTCAGGACACGGAGCTTCGTGATTGGTCCAGGGCCTTGATCACGTGATAAGGAAGTGTCCCGTCACGCGTGCGCTGGCTGCTGTATAAGCATGCTGTTGTTCAAATCGTAATCACGTCGGTGTTCTCAGGGTGTTTCGATGATTGTCAGAATGGAGAAGAGATGCCTGAAATGTGAAAGGAGGGCCACATGGTAGCAGACCGATCCAAGTTTTCTTGACCTCAGAACAATGGTATGCTTGTTTAATGTCCTAAGGGTAGGTGCCTTCATGTAAATTAGTTGTTTTATTTTAGCATTTGTGGTATAATGTGTAAATTATATGAAGATATTTTTGCATATTTTGCCATGCAATGGACTGGACTCCCATTCCAGGTCCTCTCCCCCCAGGTAGTGTGTGTGTGTGTGTGTGTGTGTGTGTGTGTGTGTATGTGTGTATTGGCACGGCGTAGGCCTAAGTTGGTTTAAGCAGACAGAGGCCTCCTTCTGTGGCGAGTGTTTATGAACCAGAACGGACCCCTCCCTGTTCCCAAGTGGCTGCTGTGCAGGCAGTTCTCGGGACGGCTAACGGAAGGCCCCCTCCCTTATTACTGCGAGCCTTTTCTGAGTGGACAGCCGTAACCAGGAAGAGCCGCGAGAAGGCCGAGGTCTGCGCCTGCAGTCACAGAGGACAATGAAGTAGCTGGTCTGTGACCCTGGAGTTACATCCCACTGGTGTGATTCTGAATGTTGAGCATGCTCAGTGAGAGGCTTGGTGTGACGTTCACAAAGGTAGCTTGTATGTAAATGCGACACAGCCTCGCGTGCAATTCCACCCACACGCACGCATGTAATTTAACACTATCGGTGCCTGTCTCGTTAATATTTACATTAGCTTTTATTTTGTAGACGTTTTTGTCCATAGCGACGTACAAGGGAGGTAGCACATGACACACGTCCTCGCTGCCGAGGAGTCGACTAGGCATAATCGTGGCTAGGCTGAGCTTGTGGTGAATGATCAGGCACAACTGTAAGCAGTCTCGCTGTAAGTCAATGCAGCAGTGTCAGGGAGACAGAATGTCCTGTAAGGCAAATACTTGAGGTGACTCGGAGTCGTATTCCAGACCGGGCAACACCTCCTTGGCCTGATGTCTTGGCAGCCTCTGGCTCCAGCAGAGGTTTCCAGAAGGTCCTCACAAGGCCGCTGTTTGCTGAGTCATGGTGATTCCGGTAACTACGCCGTGCCTGGGAGCGCCTCACCGCGTTGCCGCGGCGACCCTGCACCGCAGCGGCCACAAGGTCACAGTACACCTGCCAAGGAACAGGGGGGGGGCGGCGTCGATCTCGCCGTCCTTCGAACTCCAGCGCTGATAACATCCTGAGTGGGGGAAAAAAAGAAGAAAATAGACAGACATCAGGGTAACATGAGTGACAGACTGTCCCCTGAGAGGGGATCGGGGTTTTTCAGGGCCCCAGGAACATGCCTGGGCTTGTCTCCTGGGCTCAGATCCAGAAGATGCTCCCACATGATCAAGCTCCTTCGTGTCACACTCACAGCTTCTCCACCATCTCTTTCCTTTCCAATTATATTCACATAAATTTAACTCCGAGTCTTTCACTCTCGTGCCTTTTGTGCTGCCTGAGGGCGTCCAACGTGCCTTTGTTTCCTCCAGCTGACCAGTGCTGTGACCTCCCCGCCCTATTGGGGGCGCTCTCCGCCCTGCAGTATGGATTAGCCGCCGTGCCGCTAGCATCATGGCCTCCACCGTCGCCAGTGGCAACCAGGACGGGCCCCCCGTCCTCAAAGGGGTGGACCCCGAAACGTGCATGATCGTCTTTAAGAACCACTGGGCGCAGGTAACCCATACTCTCCTCTGATTGGCCAGTAACCCATACTCTCCTCTGATTGGCCAGTAACCCATACTCTCCTCTGATTGGCCAGTAATCCATACTCTCCTCTGATTGGCCAGTCGTCAGGACCCTTCTGTCCTGCCACCCTGTTTTTGCTCTCACTGCGCTGTGAAACCCCCTCCCCCCTTCTGTGCTGCACCAGGGGCATAGTTACGGGGGTGGGGGGGTGATGGTGAACTTATATATAAATGGACTGCATTTATATAGCGCTTTTTTTTACTACTCTTACGAGTACCAAAGCGCTTTACAGTTATGCCTCACATTCACCCATCCACACTCACATTCACACACATATAGTATAAAAAGCAATAATGACTTAAACTAATAAATAAACATTTATTTGGGGAGGGGGGGACGACGACTAAAAAGCCCCCCTAAAATCGGCCTAATGACACCCCTGTCTTGCACCATGGTTCTGGGCAGTGTTGGGCACTTCAGGTCCAAAAGCTACAAATCCAGACCAAGATTTTGTTTCTACCAGCCAGTTGAGCATAACAAGTCACAGTCCCAGAGGACTCAACTGCTTGGTAGAAACAAAATCTTGGTCTGGATTTGTATGTAGCTTCTGCACCCGAAATGCCCAGCACTGGTCCTGGGGGAACCGTTTGACTTGACTTGATCATACAACATCCAGTGGCCTCATTAAATTTAGCAGGAAATTTGTGCTGTGGGCCACAAGCTACTTGGAAGATACTTGGTCACTTTCCTTCTTTCCTTCAGAACAGAACATATAGTCTGTTTGTGGGTTAAACTTTTCTCTGTAGCGGCAAACAAATCAGTTTAAGAGAATCATATGTAAGAGCTAAATATATATCTAGCATGTGCCATGTAATTAAGAAATTCCCTCTCAGCCTTTGTATCGGTCCACTTGTGCTTCCTGTATCCGTTTTATTGGGGAATAATTAATGACGCTCGCATGGAGCATCGGATTCGGCGAGCCCCGGGGGTCCCGCGCAGGTCTCCAGCTTAGAGTCTCCATGCCCCCGCACCCCCCACCCCCCCCTTCCCATCGCGGATTAATCAGTAATGTGGGGCCCGTCCCCGCTGGCTCCGTCGCCATGGCAGCAGACCTGTCCAAGACACTGAGCTCATTATGGGGAGTCGAGGGAGGCAACGCGACACCCGGCGGACTTTTTGCGAGGATGCGAAGGAAGGGGAGCGACCGAGATGCATGAAAAATGTCCTCCTGCTTCGCCAGCCGCCCACACGCCTTATATAACATCTAAACGCACTCATACAAGGCAGGAGCAGCAACTGTAAGGATGTTGCTGCAGACGGCGGTGACCTGAATTTGTATGTTTGTTCTGAAAACAATCGGAAAAAAGAGCAAAATCCTACAAAAAAGAGCAAAATCCTACATGTATAGTCTCCTTGGGATATTACAAAAATTAAAGCCCCCCCCTCAAATAAAAACTTTCAAAAAGCTATAAATATGCAGGTTTTTTGGGATATTGGGATATTACATAAATTAGAAATCCCCGCACACAAAATAAAACCTTTTAGAGAGCTAATTAACCTTTTAGAGAGCTAAATATGATTAAATGATAATAGGAGTCTTGTCCAGAAGGACAGGTAGTGTTTGCTAAGCAGAATCATATTTCTCTGACTTGAATGATATTAATGGACTGAAATCTTGTCCAGTGTTTCCAGTTTTTCCAGTGTTCCCAGTGCTTAGGTGTTCTTAATATTTCGAGCACAGACGTACGCCTCTGTCCTCCTCAGGTGGTGAAAATTTTGGAGAAACACGACCCCCTGCGCGGCGGCCCCCTAGGGGGCGCTAGTGGCCCCCGCTTCGGGGCCATCCCGGGTGACGAGGCCAGCGCCGTGCAGAACTACGTGGAGCACATGCTCTTCCTGCTGATGGAGGAGGGCGGCGGGCCGGGCGGCGCCATGGGCCCCATCCTGGAGTTTGTGGTGATGGAGAACGTGATGGAGCGCCTCTTCGTGTGGAGCCTGCGTCGCGAGTTCACCGACGACATGAAGCTGGAGCAGCTGCGGATGTACGAGATGCTGCTGGGCCGAGCCCGGCAGCCGCTGCTGCTCCACAAGCCGGTGCTGCGGCCCCTCATGATGCTGCTGAGCGCCTGCTCGGGCCCCGGGGCCGCCACAGCCGCCGTGGAGTCCGAGCTGGTGGTTCTGCTCAGTCAGCTCTGTTCCATCCTGGCCCGAGAGCCCTCCATCTTGGAGCTGTTCTTCCACACCAGCGAGGACCAGGGTGCCGCCAACTTCCTCATCTTCTCCCTGCTCATCCCCTTCATTCACCGCGAGGGCGCCGTTGGGCAGCAGGCACGGGACGCCCTCCTCTTCATCATGGCGCTGTCCGCCGAGAACCACGTGGTGGCCAATTACATCGCGGAGAACACCTACTTCTGCCCGGTGAGTGATCATGTGACGTTCCTCATTATTGCATCACCTCATTATTGATTCTTCTCTACGTTCCCTGAATGTTTTTAATGTCGCATTTCTGGAAGTTGCATTGTCTTATTAGGCTCTTGCATTTTTTTGGAAGATGTTGCGTAGCTCCTGCTCCAATACTGCATGCACCTGTACCTGGGCCTTCACCGGAAGCTCAGCTTAGCTGTGCTCATGCCTGGTCGACTATTCAATAGCACCGATGTTTGCTCACTTGGGACAAAAGCGTCTGGGTGAGATGTGAGGAACAGCCCTCAGCCACCCCAATGAAACACCTCTGACGGTCTGCTGGAATAACTGGAGCAATAAAGACCCCATTTCCCGCTGTAAATCCGAGGCTAATTCCTAATGAAGCATCAGCGGTTAATTATCTACAATGATTAACCGTCACAAATCCTGTTACCTTTCCAACAGTACCAGCCCAGGAGGACTAATTAATCACCTAATAATCCAGGGACTTGTCAGACGATTAATTGCTGTTATACAGCCATTGTGGCAATTATCCATTTTCTGGTCAAATGTGTATTCGGCTAATTTAGCTAAATGTCCAGGTAGAGGTATATAGTCTATGTAGCCAGAGTAGAGCGTGATCTGGTTCTGCCATAGGATCGTGAGCCTCCTTTCATCTCCCATGCTGCTGAGATGCAGTCCTTTGTTAGGTATGGCCATTTATGGAACTACAACGGCAGAAATGCATGTAATTTCAAATATTGTATGATTGTTGTACTAGCAGGACATGTTTGGCATGCGAGTCCATGAGGAAGAGGATAACGCTCTGTGTACATTTATGTTTTATTTATTATTGCATACACCTTTATAGTTGACCGTCGAGTCACGTCTGATCGAGTCACGCCTGATCGAGTCACGCCTGATCGAGTCACGCCTGATCGAGTCACGTCTGCTCACATGTACGTCCGAGGTCCATAGTAAATAATATAGACTGATCGCGAGACGCCTGTAAGCAGACGGAGTAGGACGTTAGCGTTAGCATCACGCCTAGGCTATGCATAAACACACTCATAACACCTTTTTTGTTTGTTTTTATTTTTACCTGTCAGATGATGCAATTCTGTCTATCTCAGTAAATAATCGCTATTAAGCTACGTTGACGGACACGGCTAACGTCACCCGTGACATTGGCATTTGCGGTGCTGTAGGATAGCCTTGTGCTTCCGACGTAATAGGAGTGTCAAGGTATGCGGAACAAGGGCTGATGGATCCGTGTGTAAAAGTGTGAGATCTCCCCGGAGTTGAGACGGCCTTCCCACGTTCGGGGATTATCTGTGTGGCATCTCGACACGCCCGGGTGAAAAGGTCTCCGGTGAACTCCCGTGAAACACTTTAATCTGTGTGCAGCATGTGCTGCCTGAATGTCTCAGAGTAGCTGGTCCAAACTGCATTAAGGGGATGTAATACCCTTTTCTTTAAAAATAGCAATAAATTTTGTAAGTGTTGTATCTTGGAATTTCAGTGCAAGCTGCCAGTGTAATTATTGCTGAAATTTGACCTCCCCCGCATCACATTGGCATGTGGACGGTTGACCCACTGGGCCATATGGGTGGAAATGAGGCTTGCCATTACCCCGGAGGTGGTGGCGGTGGCGGATGGGTTGGTGTGGGGTGGATCGAGGTTACGACGGGGCAGATTGTTGACCTCCATGCCCCCCTCGCCCCTGCCAGGCAGGCAAACAGCTCTGCAGCAGAAGCTTTGCTCATTCGCGGGGAATGAGAATCTAATTTCACGGTTTCGTGCAGCGAGTCGTTTGCCCGCTGCCGCCTCTCCAAGCACCGCGCTTTCTTGGACGCGGTTCCCTTTTATTGGCTGTCAGCTTGGCAGCCCCCCCCCCCCCGGCCCACGCCGACTCTGATGGCTGACATTTCGCAGTGACGTGCGAAAGTGACACGGCGGCCTGTGTGGCATGCCGAGGGTGAGTGACGGGCGATCACGAAAACATGCCGTTCGCCGGGACACAAACAAACAGGCGGGCTGAGTCGGGGGGAGTGAGTGGGCAGGGGCGTGGGGGGGGGGATGTTGACTCAGGCCTGTCAGCTTGAAAATGAAGCGTGAAGCATAACCCAAACTTAGAAACTATAACCCAAGTTCCTTAGGTGTTACTTTATAAAATGTTCATTCAAGAAGGTGGTTCTTTGGCAGTGCATTGTGGGAAATTAGTAGTTTCTTTTAGCAATAGCATTGTAAACAACCAATCCATATTTTTCAAAACATTTATCCTGGTCAGTTTAATGGAGGGGGGGGAGCTGGATATCAACCCAAGCAGTAAAAGGGCACAAGGCTGGGGTACACCCTGGATGGGATGGCAAAACAGAGGTACATGTTATGAATCAGACTGATTTAGCCTAATTAAGCATTTGCTATTTTGGGTGTGCATTGCCTAAGCATGATATAGGTGAATGACCTGGAGGGGAGAGTGTTAGCCAGCTACCATATGTGGCAGGAGACCAGCAGAGGCATCAGGTGGTATTCACAGGAGCACGAGTGACCACAGAGAGGCAGGGCTGGAGCCTGCCCCATTGCCCCAGGAGGAAGCCCTGTAGCCAAGCATGGATAACAGGTGGCTCTCTGGGAAATGACCCTGTGTCCCCCTCATCCCCTCCAGGTCCTGGCGACGGGGCTGAGCGGCTTGTACTCCTCTCTGCCCCCAAAGCTGGAGGTCCGCGGTGAGGACTGGCACTGCCTGCAGCGGGAGGACTGGATGCAGGTGCCTGCCCTGGTCCAGTTCCTTAACTCCCTGGAGTTCTGCAACGCCGTCATCCAGGTGAGGGCAGCGTTTAGCCGGGCGGCCCCGTGACCGAGCGTAACCACGGTAACGACACCAGACTACCCATGAATCAGCTTAGTCCCATATGGATGAGTGTTATCAAAGCTGTGAAAACTCAGAAAGTCGTAAATACGACAGTATTATGCAGCTTTAAGTATGTAAAACGGTTCTTTTCTTGCCCATTGTTGCGTGAGCGTCACTGGACCGCGTGATGAAAGCTCGCTGTTATCACATTCTTCCAGGTCGCTAACCCCGCCATTCGAGACCAGCTGGTCAGCTACATCTACAACGGCTTCCTGGTGCCCGTCCTCGCACCTGCTCTACACAAGGTCAGCACTCTGATAAGAGCCCCCCCCCTACGGTACCAGCACCAGATAATCACCACTCACCAACTGCATGCTGCAACCCTCTCTAATTGTTTGCCTGGGAGTTTGTGCTCACAACAGGTGTACTGCCATCAAAGGAGGCTAAGTGTTAAACAAGGCAGAGAATGTTATCGTGGTTGTCAGAGGTGCCTAATTGCTGTTCCCTTTATTAGGTATCCAGCTGTTCACATAACGAAAAAGTCCAGGCTATTGATGAAGTATCTGTTAGGGACATCGATAATGTAAACAACAGGGATGACATGACACATACAATCCCATAATGCCCTTCTTAGGTTCACGCATAACAGGCTTCCTGTCCGGCTGATTGGTGGAGGCCACGCCTCATGCCCCGCCCTTTCCTGTTTCCCCAGTTGACCCTGGAGGAAGTGATGACTACGACGGCCTACCTGGACCTGTTCCTGCGCAGCGTGTCCGAGCCGGCGCTGCTGCAGACTTTCCTCAGCTTCATCCTGCTGCATCGGCACGAGAGTGTGCACGTCCTGGACACGCTGGTCAGCCGCATCAACACACCCTTCCAGGTTAACCCCACCCCCGCCCTCTCCTGGTCTCGCTCACCCATCACTACTACGCCATTGGGCAGTACAGGTATCCTTGGGCGATTCCTTTGTTCGTCCAGGCATGATGAGGTATACGTACAGCTCTGGGGTCTATCTGTCCCGTATAAGCGACTGCACAGGCCACGGCTCAGAAATCACAATGGAAGAGTTCACTTTAATGCTCTGTGCATTCGCGATAAAGAGTCAACCCCCAGGGCTAGTTCCTCATTACTTAAACTCGTATTTAAAATGTTAATATCAAAGAGAGCAGTTTTTTTTTTTTTTTTACTTCAGGGAATAACCATTGAATTATTCCCCGAGATTGACGGGAGAGGCTATGGCTGCAGTTAATGAAAACACTGAGTGTTATTCAGTTCGTAAAACCTACTGTTACTGAAGGGACGAAACCGGGACCTGAAATAATACTGTTGTAAGTATCGGATTTCAGACAGCTTATGCTATTGTGCCGGCAAATCTCACCTCAGCGGGGAGCGACGGTTATCCTGGCAGAGAAGCCGTTTATTGCAGCCCTTTCAGACGTGCACTCAGGGTGCCGTGGAGAAACAGTCTGCTCCTGGCACCTTGTTTGTGCTCTAGGAAATTCCCTTTCATCTCAAAATCTGTTAGGAGAGGCTCTGGGAGGTCTGGAAGTGTCACCTTACATCCCGTCAGTCAACAGCAAGCCTAACACGCTCCCTCTGCTCTACTTGGCATTTTATGGTGCTAAGCGCAGTACTTTTCTGTACTATACTACGCACATAAATGACCAAATATAAGTGGCAAAACTGAGATGTGTTAAATAATGAAAAAAGCATTTTCGCCTCGAATCCTTACGTGTAGAAAGCAAGCACTAACATTCTGGATAGCTCTATTCCTGGCTGTCCCCTTAGCTCAAAGTATTCTTTACTGGTAACCAGGAAATACAGAAATCATCACCTCTCCAGCTTCTTATAAACATTTATGATATTACTACATGGGGCAGAAAAAAAGAAAACAAAAAATTATAATTGTACTGTCCATTGTATAAAAACACAAGCTATTATTTCTTGGGTTTTGTCATGACATCTTGATTTCAGTGGCCACTTTCTTGTTAGAAGTGCTTCTGAAATCCACGAATTATGAGAAAAAAGAAACATTGATGTGCTGTTTGTGTTGAATTCCCTTTTATCCATGGCAATACCTTTTTTTTCCCCAGCTTGGCACGGTCTCCCTGGCCCTGTTCCGCACTCTGATTGGCCTTTACTGTGAGGATGTGATGTTGCAGCTCATCCTGAGGCGAGTAACACCATTGGCTACTGAAACCTGTTTACCACACAACCTTGATTGTGATTGGCTGAGATGCCAAAGGTCCCGCCTCCTCCTTCTCTGCACCTGCGTCCCCAGGTACCTGATCCCCTGCAGTCACATGATGCTGAGTCAGCGCTGCGTAATAAAGGAGCGGGACTGCTATTCTGTGTCTGCGGCCAAGTTCCTGGCCCTCACGCCTTCATGCTGTCCATCTGGATTCACCACTCCTCCGCTCAGGCAGCAGCTGGACTGCATCCTGTGGTCAAAGGATTCACAGACGGAGAGCATAGGTATGGGCCTGGGCGGAGCCTGCAGGTCATGTGACCATAGCTCCTCGCATGCTTCGGCATAATTTCGTATCCCCCTGCCCTGCTGGCTGGATGATCTTTAAAAAACCGTATTGCATTGCAAACAGGCATTCCAGCTCCATGTAATTTCATAACACATTAAATATTTATCTGACACTTTTATCCAAAGTGACATACAGCGGAGAGAAAGAGAGAAAGCACACAATTTATGTGCATTCCGTGGGATTTGAACCCACAACCTTTGCATTGTTAGCACAATGCTGTACTAGTTACTAGCTACAGGAGCCTAAGAAAATTGTATTTTTTTCCATCAGCGCTTTAGGTTATTTTATTAATATATTCACCTAAAGGGTTACAATAGTTGTTTTATTAGGCAGGAGAGCTGGGATTTGCACCCACAACCTTTGCATTCTTAGCACAGTGCTCTACTTGCTGAGCTACTTATCTAATGTTTACAAAGATCCATCTGCTGATGGCACATTTCTGCCGTTTGTACAGATGATTCGGCCTACATCACCGTCATCAGCGCTGAGGTGCCCATGGACATCAGCTACTTGCACTACCTGCTGGATGCCCGCAGTAGGATCACTAGGTGCGTCAAGGCATGCCAGGTGTGGTCGGCCCCTTACGATGGCGAGGACCCCCCACCTGACCAATACCAGCCGAGCGTGCTGGATGACGACGGCAAGCCGCGCCGCTCTAGCCACACCCGTGCCCCCCGGCATGCTTCTGAGCTTAGCTCTGCCGGGGACCGGTCCATCCAGCTAGACCTGGAGTGGGATGACAGCTATGACACGGCCCTGTCCCCAACTGACAGCCCGGAACCCCTACCTCCTGTCCCCGTCGAACCGCCGAAACACATCCAGGAGATGAGGAGGAGCGCCATCATGCTCATCAAGGGCTCCTATGTCGAGGAGTCGGACTTCCAGGACGACGTCATGGTCTACAACCTTGTCGCGCAGAAGGATGCGCAGGACGTCATGGAAGTAGGCGTGACGAAGCCCGAGGGGCCCGATCCATCTCCGCCAGGCAATGGGCCCAGTCTCCGGCAGCCAGCTCTCAGCAACGGCCTCACCTCCCCCCAGGAGAGTGACCCGGGGACTCTGTTAGCAAAGCCAGAGGCGGGTAGGGGGCGAGCGAGCCGCAAGAACAGCCTGACCGGGCTGGGCCAGGATGGCGCTGAGGAAGACCTCATGTCCCAGTACGAGGAGCTGATCCAGGCTCTGGGTGTGGAGCCGGGAAGCCCTCGGAAAGGGGAACAGGAGGTTCAAAGCCCATTATCCCTCATGGAGGAAGAGGAGGTGGACTTCTCCTCCTTCTCTCCGGACACCCCAGAACAGGATAAGACGCCCTCTCCCCTGGCATCCAAGGACAGAAGTAGGAGCAGAACTCAGGGAGTGCCGTTCACCGGTGAGATGCACACGCACGTCACCTTCTCACTTACACTTTTCTCCCTGTTTTCTCCGTCCGATCTGTGCTGGCATTCTTAGCCATTAAAACACCTCTGGCAGCCTCTGTAGTGGCCCATGGTGCTGAGCCCGCCTCCCCCTGTCCCACAGGGCCGTTCGTCAGCGTGCTGCTGTCCCGCCTGGAGCACATGCTGGACAACTCGCTCCACATCAACCTGCTGCTGACAGGCATCCTGGCCCAGCTGGCCGCCTACCCCCAGCCGCTGCTCCGCTCCTTCCTGCTCAACACCAACATGGTGTTCCAGCCCAGTGTGCGCTCCCTCTACCAGGTACTGACTCTGCTACTCACTGACTCCCTCTACCAGCTACTGACTCTGCTACTCACTGACTCCCTCTACCAGCTACTGACTCTGCTACTCACTGACTCCCTCTACCAGCTACTGACTTCTTTCTGTCACAGACTGACTCCTTCTACCAGGAACTGACTCTCTGTCACTCACTGACTCCTTCGACCAGGTTTGTCACACATACAGGCTCCCTCTGTGAAGGGAACAAATATCACACATCCTGTTAAAAGACTTGAGAGTTTCTTTTCTCCTTATTGATCTAAACTCTCAAAATTTCCTGGGAGTCACTTGAGAGTCAAACAACTCAACTTGAAAACTGTCAAAAATGGTTATAGTTTTCAAAAACATTTCAGTAAACAGAATTCTTTATTGCCACTAAACAATTCTGATTTGCATGCTCCAGAGAAAAGCCTTTTAAGATATTTTATTGGTTATTCAAGACAGAAAAAAAACCAAATTAAGGAGGCTGACTGCAAATTAAATGTAGAATTTCAAGAAATATTGAGTTCTTGCAGTCAAGTACACACAGATGGCTAACTCATTTCAATGGACAATCTCAGATCTCAGTCACCAAAACACATTTTTTTTTAATTTACGAATTTAAACTGAAGCATTAATGAGTATGACTCATTAAAAATGTGGCTTTGGTACATGTGCCGTCAAGAAAGGGTATGAGTGACTGTAGTTCATGAATATATCATGAGGTTTCGGATGAATAATTTAGAGGAGTTCTAGATGCTATGTCAGATTTACAGAGTGCGGTAGGAGCTGAAAAGTGTGGAAGAAGCTGGTCTATCATCTTTGGGCGGGCGAGGCTACACTCTTTACCTGCCTTCCCATGACTCAAACGGATGAGGTCATAAATAGATCATGTACGGGTCTCCATGCATGGAATTTCTCCCAGCTGGGTTGACAACAATGAGATCTCAATCTCAGATGGTGGATTACAAGACCTGGTATTATGATCGCAGGTATCTGCTACAACAGAACCTTCTGTATAACATGGAGTCAGATCAGTTTAACAGTAAGAATTAATGTGGAACAGCATCTCAGCAAACACTGCTGGAGAAACATCTAATGTTTCTGTTATCTGCCCATCGACTACCCCCAGGTACTAGCATCCGTCAAGAACCAGATCGAACGCCTGGCCTCGACGACAAAGAACTTCCCAAACCTGCTCAAGGAGGGGCAACAGTGTCTTCTGGCGCGAGAGAATGTCCTACGCGGTAGAGGTAAGACAATCCGGTGCACGCAGGACACTCCTATAACGTGACTCATCAGAGACCCTGAAGCAGCCAGACCCGAATTTTCAATTAGTTGACATCATGCATCATCCGGTGTAGTGACTGTTTGTGGCCGACAGGGGGCGCCATACAAATGCATGGCTTGGGTGGTGGCAAGTACTGCCGCTGGATATATGTTTATGCAATTCCTGTGTAGCTCCCTAAGCACAGCACCACACCGCAGTGTCATTTTTGCAGAATAAAATGAGAGAATTGTAAAATTGCTTTTTATCTTGCATATTAACTTCATAATTTCAAATACACACATATTTGCCCTAAGGAAGCGAACATACAGGTGGGACGGCGGCTCAGTAGGTAGCGCCATTGCCTCCGGCGCCATTGAGGGTTCGAATCCCACCTCTGGGAGGAGTTTGCGTGTGTATAGGACTCACACAGGCTTCCTTGAGGAACTCCTATTTCCTCCCGTCACTCAAAGACACGCATTTAGGCTAATTGGCCTCTGTAAACTACCTGCAATGTATGCAGTTAGAGGATAGAAGAATGGATGGGCTCAGTGGAGGTACAAAGGTAGAGTGGAGTCATAGTTCCAGAGCAGGCATTCAGCCTCGAGCCCGGGGTCACGATACCCTCTGTTATAAATAAGAAATGATAGGTACTGGAACCTGGAACCACTGCAGCAATAAGAAACTGACCTAAATATTTATAAGGAGGAATTTGAGCCTTCCTTCTGTAAATAGTATAGCACTTCTGCTGGACATACACAAAGAAACCGTACGCAACTCCTGGTATATGGATCCTGTTAAGCCACACCGGTACACAAAGAGACAATTGTATGTTTAGCCAAGATCGTTTTCTACCTTGAAGCGTGTTTGAAACCAACGGGATTAAAGCAAAGTGCATTACGATGTCGCAATGAGCGGTGTGACGTTTTTAAGATGAATTGGGACCCACACTTTGCACCTCAACGTAGTTGTATAGTGCGTCGCATCTCATTTGTAATAATTTACAAGTTCTGTGTGGATAAGCGCTGAGATTCACGTAGCAAAATGGTGAGTTTTGCATTTACATTAAGCTATTGGCGTCACCAGAAGTGATCCATCATCAATATATTTTTCCATTCCATTTCCTGTGCTGCTTTTCTTTACATCACTCACGATGCCTCTCACCTCTCGTTTGGATTTTGGTAGTTTGCAGCTCAGCCGCCCAGCTGAGTGAGACGGTTCCCGTTACCGTTCCCTCTGAATCCTCTTTCCTTCACAAAAGCCTGAAATAGTGCTACCTTTTCAGTTAGGCGCTGGAATTTGTCGCCCACTTGCAGTCACTGCCTTTCTAGGAATTATTTAGTGCAAAACTGAGACAGTGGCAAAGCTGTGGTGTCTGACAGGAATGGTGAGAATTACTTTCAGTAAATGATACCACTAAATAAACCAATTCGGTTTATAGGCCACTTTGTAAGAGCTGTGGTCTTTAACACACTAATCTCGAATCTCTCACCCCGGTGCAGAACTTCTTGGGGACAACAAGGAGAATGGATTCGGACTCCATGACAGGGGGACCAATAGGCTGTCGTCGCCCCACCTTAAGGCCCCCGCCCAGGGCACAAACGCGGCCTTCGCCACGCTGCTGTTCACCGAGTTCCTCAAGGAGCTGGCAGCCGTGGCTCAGGAGCACGCCGTGGCGTCCCTGATCCCCGAGGAGGAGTAGGACATCCCGGCCTTCAGAAGAACGTCCTCCACAGGCTCCTCGAGACCCAAACGCTCCTCGCATATCCTGCGGCCGTTCGGCCGTCCTCAGACGCCGTCTTCGCCTGGGCTGCATCGTGAGCGTGCGACAGATTCGTCTCGGTGTTTGAACGCTTTGCGCGATATTGACATATTTGTATTTCGTGTCCATGGAGCTACCTGATGAAGAAGACACCTCTTTGGTGGATCTGCCTGCCTTCCATCTGTTGTGAAATTTGAATTTAATTTGAAGTTGGGGTATTGTGTTATTTTCATGGCTTTTCCTTGCAAACACACATCCCAGGATTAGAGCTGAGCCCAAGGGTAACCAGCCTTGCATACAAGCACAGATACTTTGGTTGTCACGTGACCCTCAGTCGTTTCAGCCCTGTGGCTCTTGGGTGACAGCCTAGCGTGCCATCGCAGACATCATAACTCTGAGAGTCATGTTCAAATGCATTGCGGGATACAACAAACATTATCGTCATTGAGTGAAAGATTGGCAGATATACGGGGAATACCTGTTACCCTATACTTATTACAGTTAATGGACCCAAGGAAGTAGGTGTTTCTCAGTAAATGTGTGGCCTTACATGGAAAGCAGTATTCATGTGCCATAGGGTAGGAAGGATAACGACAACCGTAATGCAAGACGGCTCGTCTTTCCACTTGAGATTCATTCAAAGGACGACGGGTCAAATTAAAACGTACGTCGGTCCATTTGACACTCAATGCACCGTGATCCTTACAATGGGTCTGGGGAGGGACGCCCATGCCAGGCTTACGGGGGGTTTTAAGGAGCTTAGCTGCCTGAGACGGAGACAAGCCAGAGGGAGACGAACCCGGCGGGTCACGGATCGGTGCGTGAAATTGCGGGAGTTGGGTGCTGAATAGGCCAGGCAGCCTGCGAGACAGACGGGGACATAAAGATGACGGAGCAGCATTATCCTCATGGAAAAACACCATTGTTAAGAGTAAGGGTACTCCTGACCGTGCAGAAGAAAGCCACCTGCAGCATTTTCCTATAACCATTGTACTGGTTTAATGACTTTTTTTTCCCCCAGTAATATGAAATGTCTTTGACACGAACCATTCAAATAGACAAGCGAAGATGCTGAAATGGGTGCTGTTGACAGTAAACACGCGGCGGGTACGACGGCCCGTCGAGGCCCTTCATCTCGCACACTCCTCTTTCCACGTGTGCTGTCCAGGGTTCAGTAATTCTGAACAAGCCTGTCTGGGTGTCAGTCTCTCTTTAGCCTTATTTTATTGCTTCTTGCACATACGAGTTGTAAGTTATAAGAAGGTAAACTATGCAAAACAAATTAGGGTGAAAAATATATTACTATTTCAGATGGGGGGGGGGTATATTTAAACAATTTTTTATAGAAGGCAATTAGACTGCCATATTTTTACCAACACTGTGTAAAAGCTTTCTTTTCCTGATAAGGTTGTTTGGGCTATAAATGGTAGACTACTGTATGAAGGTCAGGCGCAGTGAACTGGGCCACTGAGCACATTTAGGCTGCATGCATTGTGTTGGTGAGTATAGACACAGCCCTCATTGCACTGGCCCGGTTCTGATCAGTCTAGTCTTCCACTAGAAAAGCACACGGCCCAATATGGTTGCCTTGACTTTCCAAAATGTATTTATTTAAAAAAAAAAAACAGACCTGTTATATAAAATGTCAAAATTTTGTATCTTGATGATTAAAACTGTGCCTGAAGACAGATTTAATCGATTCTGCCCTCAATACTGAGTACGTACGACATTCGATCGGCACACAAAAGACGTGTTGTTATGTAGCGTGGAATGCTAAACGCGGCTGGCTTGATGTTCTGTTAGTCAGGCTTTGAAACCCCAGCCGCACCTGTGACACCCGGACTTGCTCCGAACATTCCTGCCGCCCTGCTCGCCCACCTCAAAGGCGATTACCCCAGGATTTGTCCGGCCCCCTCCCTGTGCCTACCCAGCATCCTTAGCGGTGTCACGACAGCCACTTTTAAGGCACTGTTCCGTTAATAAAAGCCGCCTTCCCACACATAGCCTGTCTACACTCGAGAGGAACAGCTGCTTGAAAAGCTTGTTTAAAATAAAAGGAGTCAGACATTGGACAGCTACTGTTTCAAACCATAAAGTTTGTTTACAGTCCTGGGTGCTACAGCACGAGCTGAAAGGAGGTCAGGCTCTTGGTGGGGGTTGATAATATTTGGGAGTTCATAAGCCGTTTAGTCCAACCAAGACTCTTTCATCCAGGAAACGTACAGTTCTGATTACACTTTCTCTGGGGACTGGCACATATACAAAGAAAGGTTTAGAGAGATTTAAAGACCCCTTATTTGCCCACCAGAGGGCGCAGTGTTTCTTTTTAAGCTTTAACGGGATACCTGATGAATCGGGGCCCTCGGGGCCACGTGTCTGCGGTTACAGGCCGGCACGACGTCTCAAGTATCTCCCGAAGATACGGCGCGAGGACGAAAAACAGAAGGGTGTGCGTGAGGGTCATCCCCGGAGCACGGGACGCGTCTGAGAGGCGCTACACCCGACACCCAACGCTCAAGAGGAAGAGGATCAGGGTTAGAGTGAACCACACCCGAGCCGCCGCTGACCTCGGGGGGAAGGGGGTCGCACTCTTTCCTAAACACACAGTCCATTTGTGAGCAGTCCAGTCTGCTTTGGTCACTGTGGGAAACAAAACGGGGCATCTGTCATCGGTGAACGTCTTCCGTAGTTCTGCTTTCCCGCCACAGGGCAGCGCTCTCCGCCGAGTAACGAGACAGCGGCAGCCCTGCACACGTACGTACGCACTCGCCGGTACGCGCTGCAATGGCTGCCGTCGGAGCTACCTGCATTCCTGAGCCTCTCAAATGTGCGCCAGCGCGGCCTGAAATGGCCAGGCTCTCCCCGTTAGTGACATATCGGTTTGCCGCGGGGCTGAACCGCACCTGGGTTCTTCCCCAGTCACTGCTGATGGAGCGTTAGTGAGCCAGGCCATCACTCCCTAGCTCGTTCTCCTCCATTTACGGGCACCTCGGAGGTGCTGTTACTCACGAACCAATCAGGGCCCGGGGAGCGGCAAGGAGAGCCCTCGACGCTAACCTCAGCGCAGTCACCTCTCAGGGAAGGGAATCCATAAGCGCGTGGAGCTCTCCATTTTTTAATTTCATGTTCTGACACTGGGAGACAAACAGGAAGAGACATGAGCTTCCTGCCTGTGAAAAATAATGCTAGCATTTCTTACAGTGTTCCAGAGAAGAACGAGAGAACAGACCAGCTGGCAGGTTTTAGCAAGTCGAGACTCCACATTTCCAAAAGTCACAAATAAATCGTGCCAGTCTCCGTGATCGGCAGCCACGTTCGAGCTGGAGACCCGGACCTCCTCTGGGAGCAGTACGCTCCGGCCGCGGGGCTTGGCTCCTCCCTCAGGACGTCTTCTCCTCCAGGAGGGTCCTCACCAGCAGGGGGTCGGCACGCCCCTTGGTCTGCTTCATCACCCGGCCCATCAGCTTGTTCAAGACGTTCCTGTTCCCGCCCCTGATAGCCCGTACCTGCAGGGACAAAACAGGACATGGGCTACATGCTCGCGCTGTTTTCTGTGTGTGTGTGTGTGTGTGTGTGTGTGTGTGTGTGTGTGTGCATGCAGTCATGTATATATTACATTGTGGGGACCGAATGTCCTCACAATGTGATAGAGACCTGTTATTTTGATGTGGTAGGGACCATTTTCACAATTCCCACAAGGGCAAACTCAATTTTATAGAAATTCGTGACTGCAACTAAAATAATTAAAAATGCCAAAAGTCTCGAATTTTGTTTGGTTACTTATGGTTAAGGTTAGGGCTGGATAGGGATTAAGGTTGTCATTGTTGGGATTAGGGTTTTGCCCATAGAAATGAATGGATGGTCCCCACAAAGATGTGTGTGTGTGTGTGTGTGTGTGTAGGTGGCACAGAGACCTATGCTGCACCACCGAGTGGCACACAAATAGATCTCAAATTCCTCCGCTGTTACACAACCACGCTCATCCTCTTAAAATAGTACCATTGTTACTACTAAGCAGCAGAGATTCTCCTTCCCCTGAGAGACTCACGCTTCTGAGACAGGCTTTCTGAGAGCGTGCCCCGTCTCCACGCAGAGAGAACTCCCCCAGCTCTGGCGGGGTGTTTGCCCCGAGCCGTGTTTTCAGCCAGACCCCCCCACGACGAGGCTCACCTCCTCCGGGTGCGAGTCGATGACACTCTGGCAGATCCGCTCGATCTCACCATGGTCCCTCATCACGCCCAGATCCTGCTGCTCCACGATCTGCTCCGCGCTCCTCCCTGTCCCCTTCCACAACTCCTGGAACACCTAGACACACAGCTACAGCATTAACTGCGCTGCCCCGTTTCCAAGCTCCTTCCATGATGCAGTTGTCATGGTGCAACTCCTCTTCAGAACAGCAGGGGGCAGTGTGGGAAATTAACTCCCACCGACCCAAGACGACTGCATACCTCCATGGACAAATATAGGCACACATTCGTGACTGATTATTCCTTATTACCAGCTGTAATTTAGCCCCAAAAGCCATAAAATGGATTTCTTAATTTTGATAATATGAGCTCAATTTGCACATCATGATAATGTCTATTACAGGGGTGGTTTTATGACCGCTGAAATTACTCAAAAATTTCATAATATGTAGAAATTGTTTGCTCTTGCTCTGAGCTTGAAGCGACAAACAGCGAAACTGGGTCCAGCTCACCAGCTTGGCGGCCGGCGAGGAGATGCGTCCTGCCTCCAGAAGGTCCAGCAGCTCTGCCAGCGCAAGCGGCGAGATGGGACTGAAAGCCAGAAGGGCCCCCGAGAGATCATTACACAGCCCCGCCACAAGGGGGCGCCCAAAAGGATTTGGACAGCCCGACCAAGAACAACGTTTCCCCAATACACAACAGCACGCAGATAACATAAAACAGCAAAATGACAAAAACACAATCTGCTTCTCGTTTTAGCTTCAGGTCTTGGGAATTTCTGATTCTAACGGCACCCGAAGAGCACTAGCTAGATACCAGTGTTTCACGCTAAATTATACTGGATATAAAAACCGCTAAACCACACGGCTCTGTTGGAAAGGAGTGTAAAAAAGGTATAAACGTATAAAAGTGGAAAAAAGAAGGTGTTCCAGCCATGCCCTGGACGCGAGATCACAAGACGGACGCTGAATACCACCCCGTCGCCCTCAGAACGTCCTCACGCCGGGGTGGGCGGAGCTACCTCTGGGCCGTGCTCAGACAGCGCTGCTTCAACTGGCCCAGCAGGTCCTTCAGCACCCAGCCAATCACCTTCCTCGGCTCTGCTTTGGTCCGCTGGACCACAGACACAAAATAGTCCACCAGGTCGTCCTCATTCTGGGAGGGGGGGCACAGATGTAACGCCAGTGAATATCTGCTCTGGGGAGACACAGGCGACCGAGACAGATCTACACAGAACCTAGAGGGTCCCATTACTGCCCATTAAATTGCACGCTGTTCATGCCTTAATTGCATGTACTTCGTTTAGTACATCACTGCCTCACTACTGATTATCTCACTTCCTCACCATACCACAAAGGCTGTTTGTGCGAAGAGGGATTTTAGGTTTGCCGTTTAATAGTGGCTTATTTGTACACCATGTGGCTAATATGTTTCACTGCCCTCTGCAGGGCTGCGGCAGTAACACTCCACAAGGGAGCATGCAGGCGCGGGGCAACAGCTGAAAGCTGATTGGCCCACAGGAATGCCCCTCCCCCATCATTCATGGATTCAAAACATATCATTGGCTAATTATAAGGCTTGCCCCTCCCTATGAAAATCGGTCAGTCTTATGTTCCCCCAAATTACAAAAAATGTAATAAAAACTACAATCACTCCCATCTACAGGGAAACATGACCCATGTTTTGTTGAAACATTTAAGCTAAGCATAATTACTTAATAAAACTGCCTTGACTGCATTATTAAACACATATATAGCAAACCCCTCCCCAGCTGTCTTGCCCACGTGGCTCCGCTCACCACCAGCGTGAAGCTGTGCTCAGGCAGGATGCCGTAGGTCTTCACCAGCCTCTCCCTGGTCACCCTGGGCAGCTCCGGCAGCTGCTCCTGGATCTGATCGATTAGGATCACCTGCGTGGGGTCTGCATCCATGGGGGCCGTCTGCTGGTCATACAGCAGCAGCGGGGGAAGGTTGGGCTCCGGCATGAACCTTCAGAGACGGGGGCGTGATGCGTAACCGGCCGGGAGTACCGATACTTCTGACAATACTACTGTACCACCAACACGCTCAGAAGGGCATCTCCATGTCCCTCCCACCCACCATGTTCCAACTGATGTCTGTTCATCACTACCCACCTATTTTTCTACCTCTCCATCTCCTGGACTAATGCAATAGTGCCCACCCCCTCCCCCCAGGCTACACAGAACGATTGAAAAAGTGCTCACCTGTAGTCCTGGAGACCTTCTTTGTCCCGCATGGGGATGGTCTGGCTGCAATCAATCAGGATGACAGCAAAATAAACAAACAAGCAAATAAACTCTTGCCACACATAGATGATAGCACCCCCCCCCCCACCATGGATACTGAGATAGCCCCAGGCTGGCAGGAAATGTGGCAGCGAGATGATGGACCCCCCCCAGGTGACACGATGGATTGAGACGCATCAGTGACGGTCTACTCCCCCAGCCCCCCAGGGAACATTCATTCTTAGGTTCAACATGAGAGCAACACACCATTCCTCCCCCCCCTCGGGCTCACACAACCCCCCCAGGGTGAAGCCAGCCAATAATCTCAACACAAAAAGCAGTTACAGGAAAACAACAATGACCTGGCGGCTTATGAAATAATCAATCTCAGAAGGAGAGGAATCACCAGGCAGCACAGGCGATCTGCAGAATTCACCGTTTTATTTATTTAATTGTATTATTACATTCTGACCTTTGGAGCGGAAACGGACCGCTCTCCCATCCCGAAATCCTGCTACTTATACAGCTGCAGGTCCCTTTCGGACGAACGGCCGGCTTTATTCAACACACCAGCGCGTAACGGCGTTTACTTATGGCCCCATTCGGTCCGATTTGCGGCGGACTCAATCGTAACGGCGATAACGGCGAGCGCCATTGGTTCATTCCCCGAATACGAATGTATAGCACAGCGCCGGCGCGCATCATCTACTACGCCGTATTAGAAAGGAAGGCAGTAAAGCAAGACGTGTTTTGGTCCCTGGGAAACATCCGGGGGAGCGTAGAAATCCAATTTTCCGGAACAACAACAAAACACACCGCGGGCAGAGCAGTGAAAAAATGACAGCCGCCGGCGGCTCCTTTCTGACGCGATGATACAGAACCTGTGAAAAAATGTTTGGCTTCCTCCTGATCAGCACTGCAGGACAGAACAAACGGTTAACACCAAACAAACCAGAAGATTCTACCCAGGGAGATGACAGCGACGCACACGCAGGCCCGCTTGGCCCTGGACTCCGCAGAGGCTTTTCCGCTTCCTCTCACAAACTTGAGAGCCTTCTAGCAAACGCCCCCAGCTGATCTCCATGTAATCAGCTCAGACAGCTGGGAAGAGCGCGCGTATGAAACCGGGGGGGACGAGGAAGCGGGACTCCGCAGCATCCCCCCCCCAAGCTCACCCCGACTTGAAATCGAAGGCTCTCGTCTCGTTCACCACGGTCCCGCCGCTCTCCACGACGGCCATCTGTCTCTGGAGCTCGTAGTCTGTGAGGAACATCTCAGATTCAGCGTCGCCGCCAATGGAATCACAGAACAGCTGCCGGGCCAGAACTGCCGACCCGGCCTCCGATTTTAACTGCTACGACACAGAGCTAAACTTTAATCCGTTACCCTCCAGGTGGACGGTGGCCAAAAACAGCAGCTAAAATAACTCAAAGAAGAAGGCGGCAGAAAATTTTTAATTTCATATTGCTCCAAAGTCTACTCAGGCCACATTAAAAAATGAAATAACAGTATCCTAGTAGATAAAAATGTAAATAAACCTCATAACGGCAGAGTAAAAAGTTGGAGTCAGACAGAGACTCAAGCTCTCCTCACGGCATCGGGGTCCTTTCAGGGAACCAAGAGGGCTGTCGGATCCCGCTGGAGTTTCTGCGATTATCTGTGCCTCGCAGTTAAATTTCAGGCGCATTCATTGCGACACACGCACAGGGACAGGGGGAAAAGGCCCTGTGACCCCCCCCCCCCACTGAGACGGCATGGCACACCGTTCAGCGCCACTCCTGGGGGATCCCTAGAAGTCGTAACTGGGATTATGCTTCTCACTCAGGCTCCAGTTAGCAGTCGGCCCACAGGCCGTGTCGCACGCTCACCGATGGCTCGGGCCAGGAAGCGGGCACTGTTGATGTTCTTCACCTCGGTCCGCACGCCGAGCGGCTCGCCGGGCCGGTGTACGGAGACATTGGCATCCACCCTCAGCTGGCCCTCTAGGTGCGGAAAGGGGGGGGGGGTGGCAAACACTGGCAACAAATATCCTCTGCGATGCACAATAACCCTTAAAGGCTGGATCTTGTTCGGTGTGTTTTCCGTGCGCTGTGGTGCCCCCTGCTGGCAGACATACCTGACATGTTGCCCTGGCAGGTGCCCAGCGCCTGCAGGATGAGCTGCAGCTCCCGCACGGCTGCTGCAGCCTCCTCGCCGCAGCACATATCAGGCTCCATGACCAGCTCCATCAGACCGATGCCTGCGGGGACGCAGTGTGGCCTTTAGACACACATTCACATACAAACAGCTCACTGCAGGCAGACAGACAGACAGGCAGACAGACAGGCAGACAGACAGACAGACAGACAGACAGGCAAGCCCTCCCTCAATGTTAGACAGACTCAATGTCAGACAGACAGAATGGCAGTAAGACTGAGCTCACAGCTCATTGCAGGCAGGCAGACAGACCAGAAGACAGACAGAAACAGTCAGGCAAGCCCTCAATGTTAGACTCAATGTCAGACAGACAGGAAGACAGACAGAGACAGCTCACAACAGGCTGTCAGTGTCAGACCTCAGACAGACAGACAGACAGACAGACAGACAGACAGACAGACAGACAGACAGCTCAAAGCAGGCTCAAGCTATCAAACCTCAACCAAAGACAGACAGACAGACAGACAGACAGACAGACACCCAAACGCACATAGCCCATATTACAGCCCACACGGCTGACACTGTCGAAACACGTACAGAAAAAAAACATGCAAACACACTTTCCTATCAAGCACCATTCCTTGACTAAATACCTTGACTGCATACTCAACATAGTTTTTTTTTTAAACAATGCTATAGTGCAAAGCACAAACACAGCTCACAGCAGTGCACACACGGTGCCTCAGCACCAGGCCCTCATGAACAGGGCATCAGCTTATCGCTCGGCCCACTCTCACCCCTACGGCGGGATCCAGCACCTCCAGGGCGACATGCTGGCTACCTGAAGGGGGCGGCGTGGGGGGAGCGCCGTGACGCACCTGCCCTGTTGAGGTCTATGAGCGTCTGGCTCCGGTGTCCGTCCCGCAGGCTCTTCCCGCTGTCCTGCTCCAGCTGGATCTGCTTGATCCTCACGCTCCTCTCCAGCACGTGGTTTTGGCTGCCGTCCACCAGCACGCCATAGGAGAGCCGGCCGTCCACCGCGACGGGCAGCCGCTGCTGGGTGATCTGGTAGCCAGCCTGGAGCACAGCGGCCGGGGCGGGGGGGGGTGGGGTGGTGGGTGTCATCAAGAGCTCACCACCCACCTTAGCAATTAATTATAAACCCCCTCCAGTCCCGGCGCTGAAATAACCATGCATTTCCACAGACTCAGCCTCTCTCTGTAATTGCATCATTGAACGCTAATAACACGTTACGCCAACAGCACATTGCTCAAAAGACGTCAAAACACACCAGTCGAGCCGGGGATGGGGGAGCGGGGAGCCCGAGCTACCTACAAGTAGTAATTAACCCACTGCTAAAATATTGATACTTCACGCCAGGCTCGGAATCACACAAGCAGCATAAATATTTCATTCCTTCAGATTTGCGGGAGCCTCTCCATACAGGCAGCACGTCGGACACGTTTCCATGGCAACCGGAGCCAGGCACAACTAAACATCCATCGCAGACACTGGCGCTACGCAGGGACGAAAAGACGAGCACGAAAGTAATACAGCGCTACCATCTGCGTGTCATAGCTGATCAACGATTAAAACACGGATCGCGGCACGAGAAGTGGGATTTCAGCTGTTGGCCGATGGGAATAACTTTATCTTAAAGGTCCTTTAATTAAGATTTCCCAGGCAATTACTTTATGTTTCTTCATGAATCTGTTTTGGTAAATGACCTTCTGTCACACAAAATACAAATGTAACAAATGATCATTACGGCAACAGATCAGAAATACACGTGTCTCACCCGTGCATCCTAGCGGCGCACCGAAATTTTGGCCTGCAGGGTGATATTACCGATAACGATGATCGGCTAACCTCTGACCTCCAAAAAACTGTAGCGAAACTGACGTCAGTGACGTTACTTCCTAGGATCCCATGAATGGGTGCAGCAGCCGCATTATATAATGCAGGCAGTGATACATCAGCAAAGCAGCTCCGACTTGAGAGATTGTAGCGAAGCGCTAAGTGGCGAGTGAGCCGACAAAATCCATCGTCCTCCATTACGGAAAACAGATGATCATCCAACGCAGTCATCGCCATTATTGTAGCAGTTATATCTATAGCTCTGATTCTGCTAACTATTAATATTTATAGTCTAAACATCAAGCAGCAATATCAACCGAGAATGACACTGATGACTGATGCCAGTGTCTAGATTTTTAACAAAGATCAACCCGATACTGATATTTTAACAGATATATATTGCGCGTCTCTAATCATTCCATCCATCCCTTCTTCTACAGGGTCAGCACGAAAAGATCGACACAAACACCACAAATGAAACAAAAGTAGCTCAATCTTTATGGCTTCTTATAACCTCGAGGGTGTTATGTAACTGTGCAACCCCACATCTGATAACAGACCCATGCAATTCCTCCAAGCAGCATCACCTGACATTAAATGCCTGGCCAACTGGGAGGAACAACACCCACGAAAAACTGAAATCCAGAAAAATTGTTGAGGGTTCCTCATAATAAAACTTTGTTCGGTGACCCTGATGAACAGAAGACTAAAAAGTATGACATTTTATACAAGTATTCACATTGTTGTCACTCACTGGCCAGATTCGACATTGACAAATCCTAGTTTCAAACCATGTGAAAACAAAGTTGGACATCCTGAAACCTGCAGAGCAGCCTAGAGAAGTGACGCAACGCCTGGCAACCCGCAAAGACAACAAAAACAACAACGGGGCCAATAATTCCCCAGCACTTTCAGAGCAAACACTCCAATAAAAAGAAGTGCACTCCTGCAATGCTACAATAAACCAGGCAGCCAAATGCCCCTACATAGCCGGGGAAGGAACATAAACCCTCTCATTGGCTAGCAACAGAAGATCCTCATAGGATCCTCAAAGTGTCAATCACGTGGCGGGCGGGCTGTACAAGCATCAACAGTTGCTAGGTAAAGAGATCCGACCGTCAGCATAGTGATGCGGTCAGTTCCATATGAGACAAGGAGTCTTCTTAAGCTTTAACCATCAAAAATACGAAAAAAGAAAAAAAAACTTACACAGCCATAACTGGATAACTAGTTATTAAAAGGTACAGATACATGTGTAAAATATAAGCCCTGCTCAAGAGCCGGTCATAAAAAAAAAAAAAGAAAAAAATCTTGTCCTTAATCCCCTTCCGTTACCTTTCATTCTTTTCTGGCATATCAATTAGCCGTGACATAGCAGCTTATTTTACACAGAGCTCAGATTGCCCCTAAGCTTGGGGGGCAGGATCGTGTACCATCCAACCTTCTGTCACGGTCCTAGTTCCCTGCTTAATATCGCCTCCACTAAACTAGACTTTTAATTGATATAAGGGAACAGGTTTCTCCTTCGTCCCTGTCGACAGCAGAGACGTGGATTATGAGTATCTATCGGTTCAGAGCGATTTGGCGTGCGAGTTCAATTACAGCCCCGCAATTCTACACGAGGATGGATGGAGACGCGGTCTTTCTGAGAAATCGGAGCTTTGAAATAAACCTTAATTTGTAATGTACGTATGTATGACTCACTGGAAGATCGGCATAGAAATAATGCTTGCGGTCAAACAGCGACTTCTTGTTGATGGTGCAGTTGAGGGCGAGGCCCGTCATCACAGCAGCCTCCACACATCTTCTGTTGAGCACCTGTAGGGGTAAGGGATTGTTATTCCAATACTGAAAGATAACAGTGGTCATTCATTGCAACAGCTGAACCCGTCAAGCCACATATCATATATGGCAAAACACAAACTGACCATCATGGGATAATGGAAGATTGGACAGAACAGCCTGTTCCTCATATACAGTTGCGGTTGGAATTTTACATTCACTCATCAGGGGCATGAATGTCATATTAATTCTGGGCTTTTAATGATTTATTTGAACCGGTCTTTTTCCAGGGTGGAATGATTATGCAACATGCATCTTCAATGATTTTTAAAAGCAAGAATTGGGTGCACAAGTCAGAATTTATTTTGGATTTTCTGCAATCCGCACAAGGTCAAAATTATACACACAGGCTCAAATATATACTAACATTCACCTAAATCTTTTAATAAGTAGCGCTGTCTTTTAACCTGACAAGGCCAAATCCTATTAACTTGTCGTTAGTGATCATGATTGACTGCAGCCGGCAGTTTCTCTTTGCCAGCATAAAAAGGATTTGCTTGACAGCACTCATTGGATTGACTAATACTCAGAACAATGGAAAAGTCCAAGGAACTCCATGAAGATCTAAGAAGGAGAATTATGGATTTACACAAGTTGGGAAAGTCTTTTGGAGCCATTTCTAAACAACCGCAGATTCCAAGATCATCCACTCAAACAATTGTACGTAAGTACAAGTTATGTGGTTGTGTCACCACTTTGCCAAGGTCTGGAAGAAAACCCAAACTGTCTCCCTCAGATGGAAGGAAATTGGTTAGGATGTTCAGGAACAACCCAGCAACCACTAAGGCTCAAGCCTGCCATGAACTGGAAACAGCTGGAACAGAGGTGTCACTGTCCACAGTGAAGCGAATTTTACATCGCCTTGGACTGTGAGGGTGCTGACCAAGAGAGAAGCCTCCACTGCAAAATCGACACCTTCAAGCTCGACTGAAATTTGCAGCTGCCCACATGGACAAGCCAAATGCCTTCTGGAGAAAAGATTTACGGTCAGATGAGACAAAGATTGAGCCATTTGGCCACAATCACAAGAGGTATGTTTGGAGGAGTGAAAGTGAGACTTTCAAACTTAAGAACGCTGTACTAACCGTCAAACATGGTGGTGGTACCAGTGGTACTGGTGCACTGCACAAAATGGATGGAATAATGAAGGAGGACGGCTACCTCCAAATTCTTCAACTTCACCTCAAATCAACAGCTAGGTGGTTGAAACTCAGATGTTTACTCTACAACTATTGATAAGTTCTAGCATTCTCACCCCAGTCAGACTGTCCGCACCACTCAATAACAATACAACAGAAAAGAAATACTTTATTTAATCACTGTGGGAAATTCTCTTTTCGCTTCACCCATCTTGCTCTCCATACGGGTGAGAGCAAGCTTGGGGGTCACAGCCCAGGGGCAGCCATCTTGCAGTTCTACTCAGGCCAGGCTTGAACCAGTGACCTTCTGATCACACGCATAGAGGCTTAGCCCTATGAGCCACACACCACCCCCTAATATGTATTACATCAACCCTGCTGTGTCCCCATCAAGTGCGGTAGGTTAACTGCCAGGAAAGGCACTAAATAAAAATAAAGTGAGGTCTATGTGGAAAAAGTACATCAAAGCGTCAGTTCATATGATTGATACAGACACACACAGTGACAGTTTGCACTCTCTCACATAAGTAACGTCTTTGCTTCAGAAGACACACCACAGCCATCATGTCTCTGAAAACATAAGGCAAAAAATGCAGTGCAACTCACTGGTAGTGTTCCGGGCAGTGAAGCATCAAAGAAGGACACCAAGGAGTTGGGCGGAGAGGAGAAGCGGACCTGGGAGCCGGAGAAGAGCTTAGTGCTGGCGTGGATCTGTGCGTGGATCTCAAGACCAACAACACCAACCAGCTCCTGGCTAAGGCTGGGGACACAGAGACAGGGACATCCTTCACCATACCGCTATCGGAGAAGTAATATAGCAGTAACAACACAAGAGCAACTAAAAAAAAGCATTTCATGTCATACTTTATCGTTGATATTGACTACCAGTAATATTGACAACAATATAAGAGCAGAAAACGTATAAAACGGAACCAAGTACAAATAAAACAATACAAATGTTATCTTATGTATAAGTTTTCGAAAAATGTCTAGGGTTAGGTGAGATTGGGTTGCAGGTAACCTCGAAGGCGTTGATTTATTGTTATACTAGCAAATAGCCTGTCAGCAGGTCGGCAGAAGTATTAGTAAAATGCTGACATCACATACATTTAGGAAGAGTGACAGATACCAACTCGGGCATCTATTATTCGTAGGCTCTCCTGCTGCAGGGTGCTTTTGGGGCTAAATACCTACCTTCTCTTCACTTGTGCTTTGGCGTTCCGACAGGCTGACGCTCCCAACCTCCTAGTACATACATGAGAACTGGATATTAAACACTTCGATCGTACCGTCCTTTTAACACTAACATTGCGAACCACAGCGAGCACTCCCACCAAGGAGGCCGCCATTATCGCATTCGCAGTGGATTATGGGAAATGTAGTCCAATAACCTCTTTCCTGATAACTGGTTGAAGCTGAACGTAATACAAGTACCATAAGCCACAGCAGTCAGCGTCAAGGTGCGGATGCAGTATTTTATATCCGGAACTTGCAGGCTGCTTCCTTCGCGAAACCCTGACCGTGGCGGGAATTTGGAAGGTGGACGCGTGTCTTGGAGCTTTTGAGTTTTTATTTTAAAGCGTTTGTGCTCTGTCTAAAGTTGCTTGATCAGCGGAGATGTCTGAGCACGGGGAGATGAACGGCGATTCAAATGGGGAAGCTGCTGGACCATGCAATAGCGGTGCGGCGGGGAACCCGGGAGCGGCACACAGGCGGTTTACTTTCAGCGAGGAGCCGAACATGGAGGACATTCGCAGGCTCCAGGCGGAGTTCACGGACGAGAGAGACTGGAACCAGTTCCATCAGCCCAGGAACCTGCTGCTCGCCCTGATCGGGGAGGTGGGAGAGGTGGCGGAGCTGTTCCAGTGGCGGGGCGAGACGGCGGAGGGGCTGCCGGACTGGAAGGCGGCGGAGCGTGAGCAGTTGGAGCACGAACTGAGTGACGTGCTCATCTACTTGCTGGAGCTGGCCGAGAAGTGCCATGTGGACCTGCCGCAGGCCGTGCTCCGCAAGATGGCCCTGAACCGGCTCAAGTACCCGGTCAGCAAAGCGTACGGGTCGGCCAAGAAGTACACGGAGTTCAAGGACTGAGCAGCGGCCCCGGGGCGTCGTGTCTGGGCCGCATCTGACTTTTACATCAACCTCGTGCGTCCAGCATCATACACTTAAGCTGCTATCCAGCGGATTGTTGTTTTATTTCGGATATTTTGTTTTACTTTTAGCATCACTGGACAACCTGGACGGTTTAAAATCAGTTCCCCCAGTTTTAGGACACTTTTATTTGCGCCAGGTTGGCATAATCGGGGCAGGGATTGTTTGCATATTGCATTTTCAGCAGTTACTTTTTTGAAAACATGGACAATTCTAGATGTAGTTATTTGATTGTATATCAGAAGTGGAAAGTTCGGGTCCAGAAAGTAAGACCCGAAGATTTTGCTTCAACCAACCAGTCACAGACACAGTACTCAACTGGTTAGTTGAAACAAAATCTTGGTCTGGATTTTTACTTTCTGGACCTGAACTACCCACCTCTGCTGTATATAGTTTAGCATGTCCAGTTTCTTGCGCTTGCTATCCCTCCAAACTGCTGTATCATTGACAGGATTTGCCAAAGTGTTCCCCTTACCTACCTGTAAAACATATGCCTCAGTTACAGTGCTGTTGTGGACATTTCAGTAATTTACTAAAGGGAACCTGCATGCTCATATTGGTGAAGTTTTCTGGCAAATCCAATACAGAAGCTTTTACCTGACTCCACAATTTAAAAATTGTATGACTGCTGTTTTGTAATTTGGTTGTGACCATTAAACGCCCTCGATACTAGCTGTGATGCCTCCTTGCATTTCTGTGTATTTTGACAGTAAATCGAGTGTGTAAAGGTCATTTCAGGCACCAGTAAAACAGTGCTGTATGGGGGTTGTGGTGTGATTTTTATTGTTCTTTGGGAACTATTTAAGTTTGCTCCCTCAAGCTGCAAAAATGATTAATTGGAAGGGGAAGAAGACCTGAGGGAAATCAATCCTGTTAATTTGTACGGATGCATTTGAATTCATATTTTGTGAGATAATCAACACCTATTGCAAGCTTGGGCTTTTGGGCTGCCGGAATGGCATTTTCCCTTCTACTCCTGAGAGAGATGTGGCCGATTACGATTTCCTTCGTGCTACAATACTTCAAAATAAATCCTCCCCCCCAGGTGGAGTACTGTCCAGTCACCACCTGGGGTGTGTGTGTCTGTGTGTGTGAGTCATTACGGATGAGGAGTTTTTGATCAGTAGCTCTGCATGCTGGATGGGGTCTGTGCAGAGAGGCATATTGTAAGACAGGGTGATATTATGGGAGAAACAATCTGTTCCAGCCAGAGGAAGATGGCTTTGGGGAGAACCTGTCATTATTTTTTTTTTATAAATGTTTAAGGTATTTCCTCTTTTTTGGGGGTCTTCATTTTGCCAAAATGTGGCAGTGTCTGTGCACATTAAGTCAAGACAGCCTCTGGCCCAATGGGTGTCTGCCAATGAACCGGCTCAAGTATCCAATCAGAGACATGTACAGAACTGCTAGGAGGTATACCACATACCAGCACTTGCCGTTACTGCTAACAGTGGCATATGCTAGTTTTTATGACGAAGTGTCTATGCCAATGGCTTTAAACACTAATTTGGTGAGGCTGTTCCAGTGCAGTAATGTTTAAAATCTACTAAATTTGAACTATACATGCACTTCCAGAAGGCATCTCTCATGTAAATTGAGAGCCCTCGATACTGTGAAGCATACTCCTTGTGTATTACTCGAAAGTCGATCCTGGGTGAAAGCTAGCGATTGGGGAAAAGTTTTGCAACCCCGCAGTGGGTGGGACCATTGCACTCTCACTGTAACCGATTCTATCCTTCACTTGATTGGGTGCCATTGGGTCGAATCAGATGATGACACACAGTAATGGCACACACGGTGAACTTCAAAGTCCCCTTTCCATGGGCGTAGATTTGGGTATGGATGGTAGGGGCGTGTCCCTACCAATATTGGGTGTACTGTGTCTATTTAGTGGGGTGGGGGGTGCAGGGCTGATGTGGATCCCACCGATGCGGAAATCAAACCACCCTTTTACAACACATTATGTAATAACACCGCATTATGTAATAACTTGACAAAATGAACCAATTTTCACCCAATTTTGTAATATCACCCACATTTTGTAATAGCATCCACATTTTGTAATAACCCACCGCATTTTGTAATAGACAGCTTGAAAGCAATACGTAATACATTTCCCTGCATTTCATGACAATTACATATGACAGCAGTTATTACAAAATGTGAGAGTTGCACTTTTTACTGATGAAAATGTAATACTGTGCATTATGTAATGAACAACCAAGATGGATGTCCTCATTGACACTTTGTCAAGTTATTACGTAAAGCGGCATTATTACATAATTCGTTGTAACACCCTTGCTCATGTCTGCCATCGCTCTTGAAAATAGCCCTTTAATAAGCAATAATAGACCTTCAAAATGACACGCTACGAGGGAAGTTCATTCAGCGGGACGTGCTGGATGAGACGGGCTGTGCCAGCTCGCTTTTACAGCGCCAGATGTGACGTTGACGGGTTAAACCATTCTTACAGACAGGCTGAGTCCTTTCCTCCGTCATGTCAGAGACGAGAAATCTTAATTAGCCATTGAAAGGCACGACTGTACGCCAAGAGAGCGCATTTATATTGAACTCCAGCTTGCGTTTCCGTCTGTGAAATTAACATCTCGTAATCACCGTATTCAGGGAGTGATGCTCAGGGTAAGTCATGCAGGTTCGCCTAATTAATTGAATTACACGTCTGTATATTTGTTCTTCCAGGGCCACAAAGTAAAATCCTATATATTTTTTTTCTTCCTAATCGGATCATGTCGGGAGGGTAAATGCGTCAGCTTTGGCTGGGCAAGTCGGTTTGATGGGGCACGGGAAAGTTTAAGACCATTTGCATTCAGCGCGCCAATTGCAGCGTTTGCGTTAGCGGCTAATATATGTATTTATTTTGTTACGCTTGACTCTGGCTTTGGGGGGATTCGATTGTCCTAACTATACAAATGGCTGGGATCCCAGGAAGTGAGAGAGGTGGAATCAGTCTGTCACGGTTGTGTGTGTGTGTGTGTGTGAGTGTGTGAGGGGGGGGGGCATCACCGCCAAATGACAGGAGGTATCCTGCCAATGGAGTCAGTTTTGTTTTTCTGTCTGTCTTTCCAGGCAGCACCTGATGCCTCATTTCTAAGTACAGGTCCATGATGTGACTGCTCAGGGCTACAAGTTAGGCGGACAGTTCCATTTGGGGGAAGGGGGGGGGGGGGGAGTCAAATTCACTGTCCCTCCAGCAGGTCCAGAAGCGTGAGGGAATCTGCAAACATGGTTTTGTCCAGCGCCGCATGAGACCTGCTAAATTAGCATACCTCCCCCAGAACATGACATGCATCGAGTCACAGAAAACACGAGGTCCCTCTGCGAGCGACCTGGGCAACCGGCACACATGGACTGTCTGAATTAAGTAGGCCCAAAAGGCTCAGACTGCCCCCCCCTCCCGGCCCCACTCCTACAAGATAACATATCCGAACTGGAAGGTGGTCGGAGCTGAATCTCTCCACAGGGATGTGCGGGAACAGAAATTTCCCGAGCCAAGATGTTCTCACAGCGATAGTCGCCGCCACTCATCCAGTAAGCTCTAGACAAAGATTTCCTTTCGTCCATCGCCTGGATGATCTGAATGCTGATGGGGAGCCGGCTTCAGTCTTGCTAACTCAGACCTCGGTGTGTTGCCGGCCGTGAAGCCCAAGCCCCCAAACCCTGAAAGGGGACATGAAAGCGACTAACAAGGGCCTTTCGTGTACTGGATGTCAATGGAAAGAATAACGCATAACAACTCAGTTACTACTGAAGCACAAATCGTGAACAAATATAATTGCTACTTGAGATAAGACGCGTCACGATTCATCACGAGATCAGTATTTAACGTGCTATACATAGCTTGTTCCTTCAGTAGTTCATTATGATTTACAGAATTAACGCATATAGTTGAGATAAACTGCTTGGGATAAAACATGCATCATGATTCATTGATGAATTAACATGAGATCATGTAACTAAGACTTGGTTTGTGGTTAATTTGTACATAAGTAATAGTATATTACTATATTTTTTGTGCTCCGTTACGAATGAGTTCATAAGATGTGAAGATGGGGGGGGGGGTTGCATCAAGAAACAAGATAATGGTATGGTACACTCCAGGGGGGGTGGAAGCATGTTTGGGGAAGATGCCACAATGTTTATCTTTACTTTGTTAGGGTACTTTTAAAATATGTAATTAATAATAATTAATAATATTGCAATATGTTTTACATTGAGTTTGGATTTATACGAAAAGAACAATTAAGAGAGAGAATGGGTGTGTGGGGGGGGGCATTGTATTTGTTGGGAATATTGCAGTGTAATGTGCTGCAGAGAGTTGCTTTCATATGTATGATGAAAAATAAATAAAAACATTGCAAAAAAAACAGGGCCTTGCGTTGAAAAAGCAACATTAATGCATTCAACATAATCCTTGCACTGTAATTGTGATAAAAAAATGATTGCAGTCGTGCAGAAAATCAATCGAGGAACTGAGCTCAGAATGACGGAACCGGCCAAATAGGGCTAATTTTAAGCTTCCCAGTTTTTGTTTTTAAAATGGCTTTTTGATTTAAATCGATTAAAAACACTTGTGAACAAACTAGGGAACTCCCATACGACACATCGGATATAAAACTCAAAACCCACAGGGAGCTGATGAGATCTAATTACACTTTTCGCTGCGCAACTGCTGCTGTTAATTAGCTGTTTTTTTTTTCTTTTGTTTTAGAACAGTTTTCACTGGCTTTCCGTGATGAAACAGAATGCACATCCCCACCTAATGCGCTTAATTACAGGCTTTAATTGCTTTAATTAAACTGTCCTCTTTAAAGAGGCTCAAGCGAGACATCTGACAGGAGGGTCAGGAATGCGACTGTGGGTGAGCTGGCTTCTCTGGCTGGCACCTCAAAGCACACGGCACATCGGGGGTCTTTGATTGAGCTGCAGGTGAGTGTCTTGGCGTGCAGAGATATTCCAGGGCTCCAAAATGGAGCAGTTCCAAACTGAGCATGCATTTCAGGCCCATTCGGGAAGTAAATGTTTCGTTACAGTTACTATGAATGGGGTAGGGAGTTGTAATTAAATAGTTCAGTTGAATTGAAATAATTTAATTGAAATTAATTACGTCCAACTACTCATGCCATGTTCTTTTTCACCTAAATTATACTGCAAAGCTAGTGACACTTTGTTGGGCTTTTTAAAACACAGCATTAATGGTCACAGAATCTGCAGACAGGCAGGGGTGCCATAAGGTGACGGTGGTGGTGGGGTGGGGTGGGGTGGGGTGGGGGGCAGTTAGGATGATTCCAAGGGTGCCTGAGTGATGTAATATAATTGGTCTGACTTGGGGGCCCAATATGATATGCTTTCATGGGGCTCAAAATCTCTAGCGGCACCCCTGCGGATAGGTAAGCCCCATATGACTGCCCCCCCCCAAAATCATCCAAAGATCAGGAAAGCTTCTCTGTACCTTTGCGGTCCTCCTCTGTGAGTGGATGGCCCTCCTGTCTGGGGTTACGGTATAAAGGCAGGATCGACCAATAGAAGGCCTGCAGTCCTGAGTAATTTATAGCTAATTGGCCGTGGCTGAATAATTTCCAGCCCAATAAGCACACAGCGTTTTAAAGGGGAAGCCCATGGAGAATTAGCAGCCCCCCCCAGGATAGGCTAAG